TGCTATTAACAGGCTGTGTTTAGTAATTAAATTGATTTCTTAGAATTCTCAAAAAACCAAAACGAATTTAAACGATGATCATCCTTCAAAGTAATTATTGAAAACCAGCGTCACAACCTAGCCTTGGTTGTGACTTTAGCTGAATGGGATCCTTTTGTACACGCCACAGCCGCACACATGTCAGTATAGTATTATGCAACTTGTTGTTGAAATGTTTTTACGCTGTTCTTTGTGTTATTTCTGTTTTAGTTATATTAGTCTTTGTTTTTGTGTTTTTTTTTATAATGTGGCGTTACAATAAATGGTTTCTATTCTATTCTATTCTATTCTAATTATAATGAAGTAAGTAAAAAATAAATATAATATATATAATAATAAATAATAAAAAAATATTCGTTCGAAATTTGTTAGCACCATGTATATTTAAGCAATGTGCCAGTTATGTGGTTTAATTAACAATTCAAGTATCTGATATAGTTAAACATGGTATTGGCCTGATGTTTGGGTAACATGGTTCACTCTTTGTTCAATAGAAAGAAAATACAGGATTTTAATAAAAAACAACAATAAAAGAAAGAAGCATTGTCTCACTGCGGTATTTGATTGTAGCTTTACCGCAATCGTCTCATCTTTTACCATCTTTTTAAAAATTTCTTGCCTTAAATGCTTACCTCTGCTTGCCCCATTGATTTATGGCACAGGAAAATGATTAAATTCAGCATTTTTCATCTGCGTAGCCTGATGGATCAAAAACAATGTCAAATTACACTCGCCATCGTCATATTGATATATTTCTCATTCGTAATCAGATTCCCCTGCGAAGAAACTCTAGGTGTTGTTTTTTGTAAATAAATATTTGTACACGAATTATATAGGGTGGCCGCAGTGGAGATGAAGTAAAGACGAGAAAATATGATGAATAACTATATTAAATTTCCACAAAGGTATTTCTTATACTAAATAATTTTGAGAACGTCCGAAGTTAGGTACGTTATGTCTAAAAGTACTTATACGAAAAAGATCTTAACTAAAGGAATTTAGTCTACGTCTGATGTTAGGAACGTTGTGCCGAAAAGTGTCTCATAATTATAATTAAAATGACGAGCTTTGCATCGGTCACGTTGCAATGCACGGGGCGCGCATTCCGAGTTGCGCTAATGCAAGTGCATTGACCTGACGTTTTAGGTATGTGTGTTATGTGCAAATCTGGATACATAACACACGTTTGTCTTTTTTTGTTTGTTTAAAAATGCTACGCCACTCTGTACTGTACTCTGTAGAATTAAAGCAGGTTATAGTTGCCTTAACTTCGAGCCTCTCTCCACCTATCTATGTAGCATCTTGGTTTCCCTTGATAGAGGAAAGGTCAAGGCGCTGTTGCATCCGCCAACTTTTTTTTTATGTAAAGAAGGAGGCAAACCGAGCCACTTGATAGGAGGTGGTCATCGTCGCCCATGGACATTTGCAACATCAGATGAGCTGCCTATGCGTTGCCAGCCTTTGAGAGCCTGTAAACACGCTTTTTGAAGAACCCCATGACATAGCAAAGGAAATACTTCAAGAGGATGATCATACCACATTTTGCAGGTGCGATGATAGAAACGAGACGGTGGCAGCAGTTTGAAAGGTTTTTCAGAGCACTCCCCATTGTAAAGACTGTAGAACACACACAGAGAGCCAACACGTCTCTCCGTAGGCTAAGGGGCTCCATATCGTCTGTGAGTTTGGGATCATCGATAATACGAACAGCCCTACGTTGGATGGAGTCAACTGGATCAAACTTGTCGAAACTGGTCACACATAGTAGCTACATCAAATCTGAAAGAATCGTTTTGTTCACACTACGTCAGTATATGATATACGTCCTCATTCACGTCGCATACAGCAGAGTTTTGTGATTTTTATTTTCTTCATCATATACGCAAACTTATTTAATGTACACATTTGTCATTTACAATATTTCAAGCGTCATAGATCGGGACTACCTGCAAGAACTACACGGGTCGCTATAACACAGATTTTTGACATCCAAGTACGCAGAAGTTGTTATAATAACTTTTAGCCGCTCACGCGATACATGCAGCCGTAGACGCATGCCACACCTAGAGGTGCCGGTGATGATTTTATGGATATCGAAGTTATAACAGGTAAAAGAACTAATATTAATTGCTATTTCGGTAACTACTCTAGCAAACCATAAAGTTTTTAGTGCCTGGGTCTGTCATTTAAAAAAAATAAACAACTTCAAAAAAACGTCACGACAATCATGTGTGTTATTGTTTGGGCTGGTGATTTCGGTGTTTATTTATTGAAAACACACCGTAAGTAGCGTTTTTTAAGTTTGCCCTGAATATAAATGTTTATAAACTATACTTTAAGAAGTAATTTCATGATAAACGTTAGAACCACTCAAACGGAATATTATCATATTTATCCAAGTACACCAAAAATTTCATTAGTGCTTTTTAAGTGCAGGATTTGCGGTGTATTACTGCATTTTATTTGAGATGTTTTTGTTGGTAGTACGGAGGGTATTTATTTAGCAATGCAGAATAATATTTTTTATTTATAAAAACTTGTGTTTAAACTGAATGTTTTTCTAATTTGCGAAACCAAATAGCCGCCATTTTGCGGTAGGAGGAGCGCATCGCGTGAGCGGCTAGTATAAAGTTTTTGTTTCATTATAGTTATAAATCTCGTAAGTGGCAAATTTTGAATGTCTACCGGAATCTTATTATAAGAAATGGCATACATTGCCTCTTAAATGAATATGTGAAGACGACTGTCAAAAATGGCTAGTTTATTATCGTAACATTTATAAATACTTCAAAATTACAGCTAATTTATTTTTATTTCTCGTATTAATGTTATGATATATGTGATGATGATTGAGTTGACGATGATGACAACTGTCGCGTCCAGCCTCTATGGATGATCAACGAACTGACAGACCACAAAGCAGACTCACGAGAGTGACAGGAATTTAAAATTAAACGGACTTTCTTTTGGACAAAATACGACGTCCAATTTTCGTTTGATAAAAAATGACGAGGGCAGACCTGACTAAACCTCCGACGCGAACAGACGACTTCTAGTGACTGAATATGGACAGACAGACCGTACAACGATGATATTGACAAATTGGCAAATTATAAAATCCGCTACATTCCTGGCCCGTAACCTATATCGCAATTCGAGCGCAAAAGGCCAATACTTGTGAATGACAAATTAGGAGATCTTTACAGAACTCCAAATTGGCCCTCGGGTATATTTGATTGAATCCGTTTTTAATAGCCACACAGCGGTTGCGGCCATTTTATTGCGTGGTCTTCAAATTAAATGCTTGCTAAGCGACCACGGTTCGCTTCTTGTTTTTGAATGATTTTCGAAATTTCCTTTAACATTTGGGACGGCTCTGTGCAATAGCAATTAGTTGCCTAGAATTCGGTGAAACGAACACCAAAAAAACTTGTTGGCAGCCACTCTCTTGTGGAGTCGAAGCATCAAAATCTCGACCACAGAAAGGAAAGTGGCCTGCTTACCGCTCGGATATATTTGAGTTTGCGCAGGAACTTTTCAATTTAATTCTAACTTCACCGTTCCTATTTTGGTCGAAAAGAAAGTACAGAACACTCTACTTTTATGCCATTAATTTGGCAACCACTTGCTTAAAGCGTTTTGCTTCCTAATGCATACGGCAAAGGGATGGAATTCACGCTATCTGTGTATCCCTAAAACGAATATTTGGAGCCATTGAAGGCTAAAACGAATAGAGGTTTTAGAGAGGTTTTACAGATTTTTTGGTTTAGAGAGATTTTTTGACAAATGTGAAACGTCAATGGTCACATTGTCGCTTAACATCATATAAGGTTGTGGCCAAACATAAATCTATTTTTAATTAAAAAAATCTTTCGTCATTGACAATTAAAGTACATAACATTTGATTTTGGTTTAAAACCATAAATATAGTCGATGATATTGACTACGACATTATTTTTAAGACGCAATGGAATAACGATAAAAGAGTTTACTAAAAACATTTACTTACCAGACTAAATCAGAGTGGATAACTCACCACCGAAGTTCCTTCACCTATCCTTTTTGGACCAGAACAAAATAAAGATTATCTGCGATCAAAATTTAACAGCTCTGGCCTAAAATTAAACCTTCTGTCTTTTTAAGTCTTTTTTTACTGATAGCAAAAAGGACATGATCACCGAACTTTCTGTTTACCCATGATGTTTTTGAAATTAACATGAAACGGACACCGACAAAACTGAGACAATGAGTCTCGGTTTAAGATGCGGTAAACTTAAATTGAGTTTAATTATATTTACCCCAATCCACGCTATTGTAATTGTGTATGCATAATATGATACAAATGAATCTCTATACAATAATCATAGTCCGAAACTTAATAAATTATTATGACGTCGTAATACCCAGCAAACTAAATTGGGAAAGCGCTGAACGCCCAATGTACTCTAAAATGTACTAAATATAATTGCGTGCTTCAGGGCTATGAAAGGTTAAGGCCAGGTTCATGAATAACGTACTCTATGGTCATGTAGAATGTATATCGCTAAGAATGCCTTATTTTCATTATAATCTACACAGGCTGTTTATGTGATCATAGGCATAATGTTCTCTGGGTCTGAACAACACATTTGATGTACACGGGGCCTTAAAAGCATGCAAGAATTTGATAAATCGACTAACGTTTGTCGACAATATTAACTGGTAGCATGTAAAGATATGGACAAGGGTTGTATACATTTGCATCGAAGGCGCATCTCCACTTTTTCTTTGAAACCAAGATGATTTGTATAGGAAATACTGAACCAGGCAATGAATGATTTCTAACCTGTTCGCATAATTAACGTGAAAGCAAAACAATTCGCTTGAATTGGAGGAATATCGGCTATGAGAGAGTGAATTCCCTCGTCGTACTTTATAATGCGGTGACGGAGAAATAATTTATCCATGTGTTTTGTCCTCAGGAAATCGAGCACTGCTATTATCACGGCACAGTGAAGGATTACCCCGGCGCGTCTGCCGCCTTCCACACGTGTAACGGTGTCTCCGGGGTCATCCACATCGGCAACGAGACCTTCGTTATTCATCCCTTCTACGGTGGCGATCTGTCGGTCAGTGATTGTTTCTTTTTATTAAAATCCTCTACTTCTTTAGTTATTTCGAAGTAGAACATGTATGTTAAAGAGTTATCAACGTGCAATTGAATTTTCTTACTTGCGGTTTGCGTTTATGACGAATGTCTTCGAAAACAACTGACATTTGCCAACTATAGCAAAGACTGTGGTAAAAATGAAGAAACAGAGGTCTTTGAATTGAAATATGTCTACTATAGTCATGAACCAACCGTTACGTATAAAAGAAAGAAATCACTATGAACAATCTTTACACCTCCTGGTTTGTCTATTGAAAGCGCATAGAAAATGATACCAACAAATACGGGGAATAAATCCGAGATGCGCATTAAGTCTATGGTCATATTTTGCTGCTTGTCTTAATTAAGTTAACTCACATAAAATGTTTATGAGCCCGCTAAACCCAATTATAAACAAATATAGCTTTTCCCGGATTTACGTGGATAACCACCCGGTATTGACGCTTCGGTGGCCTCGTTGTTTAAAAGCTTAAAAATGTTATCGAATAAAGTTTTTGCTTGAAAATTTCTGGCGGTTTTATAGCCCAAGCGGAGCTTTATGGGTTGGATATATCAATTTTCGAATGCCAGTGCCAGGATGCAACGCGTGGAAGGCCATAGGCGGCTGCTTCAGCATGCAATGCATCCCACATTGTAATATTAAAAATGTTTTCAATTCTCAATTGCAAACATAGAATTTTCGGAACATTCTAGAAATTGAAAGCAGTTTTATTTGAAACCAGGCAATTAGGAGTTTTATGTAAATTTACCATTGTACTTTCTCTTTATTTAAATACAAAAAGGAAACATTTTACAAGTTGATGACTAAAAACTTAGAAATGTGTAAATTTAGGAGGTTTAGGAGGTACATGCCACTATGTAGCCTATGTAAATATCATAGTGACTGCCACAAAAACAAAGTTCCTGGGGTGTAACTACTCTTTTCTGCATACATGCTGCCCAATTATACAGGAACCAATTCTATCAAACCAGAAACAGGACCTTTTTGAAAATTTGTTACATAGTGTTATCTACACGGAACAATAAATACAGTAGACGTGCTTAGTGGGCGTGGTACGCATGCCAAAAGTACGCGGAGTTCCACATGCCGCCCTCATCATCATAACTAACGTAATCGACTTTTTAGCGAAATTGAGTTATTAACATATTTGGAATCAGCGAAATAAGATCGACAACCCCCTGTAAGCCGTTTTTTTATATCTTATTTAGTTTCAGATTTATTGTCAAGCAAAATAAGCTCAAATGTCATTTTTCAAAGAAAAAAAACTTTAGGTGCCAATATCTCGAAAATTGCCAGAATGCAAACGCGTTACCTATGACAAGGAGTGCAGCATACTTGTACGTTACGATAGTTTCAATTTTCACGCGCTAAACCTCGGAAATGCTATTTTGCTACTTTGGACTGCAAAAATGGCAGTCGCACTAATGATATTGTCCGTTGTGGTGTTTCATATAATCGTTAAGTTTTAATCAATTTTCATTTTTCTACTTATCGCTATATTTCATAAAGTAAAACATACAACTGTGCTTTTTTCGAGAGCTAAATAAACATCTTGAATCGTCGTCGTTATTGAAATTTCAATATAAAATTGAAACGCAAGCTACAATTGCATTAATAGATATTCAATTCCCAACGATATGCCAACACGGTAAAGTGTAATTACGTTAAAAGTTTAGAATTTGTTATTTCTTTTTATATTAAAAACTATGACCATTTGTGAGTTTCGAAGACTGCAATCGAGGCCTAAGGCGCTTCCATGGTTTTTCTTTCTTCCGTTAATATTAAAACAGTATTTCGTATTGTCATTTACAGCAAAACAACGCGGTGAAATAAACTCACATTATACATGCTTATACCAATTTTGGCCGTCGTCACAAACACGAGAGAGATAGAATAGACAGATCAGATATTAACATCGAAGGCAGTTAAATTCGGTTACGCAACATGAGTTTGTAATTTATTAATTACGTATTATAAATTTGTTGCGTAACTTTCTTACTTCCAAAGTCATCAACACTCTGCGAAATTTTTAATATCAAAGTTAATATCGCTTAGGAGCTTCCTGTGCGCCTCGTTGAAGCCTCCGGTGACCAGAGGGGCAGCTACTTCCGCTATAAAATAAGTTTTGCTGTTCAAAAGGAAAAAAATACCAACCATCCGGACACTTGAGCAGGGATCTCGATTTAATTTTCTATCTATTTGCTAGACCTTTATGGTAGTTTATAAGCCCACAGGCGAGTTTCTTAGCCGCTCACGCGATACATGTAGCCGTAGACGCATACCACACCTAGAGGTGCCGGTGATGATTTTGTACCGATTTATCGGATATCGAAGTTATAACAGGTAAAAGAACTAATATTAATTCCTATTACGGTAACTACTCTAGCAAACCATAATGTTTTTAATGCCTGGGTCTGTCATTTAAAAAAAATAAACAACTTCAAAAATACGTCACGACAACCGTGTGTGTTATTATTTGGGCTGGTGATTTCGGTGTTTATTTATTGAAAACATACCGTAAGTAGCGTTTTTTAAGTTTACCCTGAATATAAATGTTTATAAACTATACTTTAAGGAATAATTTCATGGTACACGTTAGAACCACTCAAACGGAAAATTATCGTATTTATCCAAGTATACCAAAAATTTCATTAGTGCTTTTTAAGTGCAGGATTTGCGGTGTATTACTGCATTTTATTTAAAATATTTTTGTTGGTAGTACGGAAGGTATTTATTTGGCAATGCAGAATAATAATTTTTATTTATAAAAACTTGTATTTAAACTGAATGCTTTCCTAATTTGCGAAACCAAATAGCCGCCATTTTGCGGAGGAGGACGTCGCATGAGCGGATAAAAACATCACACGAGTGTTTTAATGCCTAATTATGTACAGCTACATACACTGCTTTATCTATACACATATTATAAGCTCTCTGTGATGTGTTCAGGAACCGCAAGTTAAGACTGGCGAAATGGCGGCAAATAAAACTTTTCTCACGCATGTCACACAAGCGTAGTTTTTATTTAATTCATAGACAAACTAGAGTCGGCAACTATCATATCTTTCGATATCAAGTAACGTGTGAGATTTGTCAAAATTGTTTGCTAATGACATTTCATTTCGAATAAAACTTCATTTCGACTGCTATTAGAATTGAGATCGAATCAAATTGTTTTGTTTTTCAGAGATGTTCGAAATTTCAATGTAATAATAAAATCGAATTCGATGTTATTACTATGCAATAATAACATGTTCACAAATAAGAAATTTGTTCTGATGAAACAGTTTGTCTTTATGCTGGTCGTAATTTGCGGTTTTTGAACACATCATAGAGGGTTTATGATATGTGTGTAGATAAAGTCCTTTACTCCTGTACTGTTGTACTCCTGCTCTTTAATATGTAAATTATAATTTCATAGACTATATCATAAAGGCGTTCTTTTTAGTTCTGAATCAAAATTCTATTGTCTATGGTACTCACTACTGAATTAAACATTTTCAAAGAAAGAACGTCGTGTTTTTGGTAATTAAAAGAGTCTCCTTAAACACGTACTGGGTTCCTATATTTGTGAAACTATTAAAATTCAAATAATTATTTTATCAATTAAAATCTCAAAATATTACACAATAGGCACAAACGCAACCATTTGGCAAAAAAAACTATTTAAAGACAATATAAAATATCAAATATTAATATGATGCCACACTAACGTTCGTCTGCCTTTAGATCGGTTAAAATATAAAGCCAATCACGGACATTTATATTTTATCTCCTTAGAATAATAACGCATAGAAACCTAGTCCGCACACGCTAAGTGAGGCAAATTGAAGCGCGCGTAAGGGCCTACACGAGCGGGCGGGCCTTCAGTGCTCAAGGTCAACTTGCACAGCGAACAGATCAAGAATTTTAGCTAAAAATGACGAATTGTGCGGTAAATGAGTGTAAAAATACGCCAGACAAACATAAAATAGACACTAACATCACATTCCACAAGGAAGTAACGCGTTTCAACTTGTATTTTTATTTAAATATTCACTAAAACCGAAAATTAACCTACTACTAAAACTATGAATTTGATTTTTGCCTCACTTGTGACAGTTCGTTTGATATGAAACTATCATTCTATGCGTTATTATTCTAAGTTTATCTCTTTGTTTTTTTTTCTTTTGTTTTGTTGCGTTGCGTTGTTGTCAAATGTTGTGGATTGTTAACAAAATAATAATAATGTTGTGATATCGGTAGTGTTTCAATGTTTTAATTTATTCATAGAAAAATTATTGTATAAAATCATTACATAATAAGGTCTTAAAATCTCGTACCTATTACTGAGGCCTATTAGAAAACGTCTAACCTTCTATGTTTAGTACGTTTTATATATTATTTCCTTTATTATAGTCACGGGATAAAAAACTAGTGGAAATGGAAAAACCGGTGTTGACGCACATGCATACGCTTGTAAGACAATATGACCTTAAATGGATATAATTATCAAATATCCTCTCTTCACCGTACCACAATACAATACGGTTGACTATTATAAACGTCAAAACTGATCATGAAAACTATCCAATAAATGTGCCATCTATGTTGAGAAACGGAACTCCTAAGCCAAACAATCAACTGATTGGCTTAGAAGTACCGTTACTTAACACTAGATGGCACAATTATATAATAGTTCTTAGAAACCTTTTTCCTTTTAGTAACACGGCATTTATAAATATTTTCAAATTATGTATTAATTAACCAACCAAGTTAGCCAACCTTTTTGAGCAGGTTACCAAATAAGAAAAATGTAGGTAAATTATCTATGACGTACACCTTTTAAAGTGTTCTTATACAACCCCTGCATGCATTTTTTTTCTATATCTTTTCTTAAATTCTTTCATTCAAAAGTGTCCATATTAACTCGTAGTATCCTTTTCAACCCCACGAAATATAATTCGAATATATATATA